ATAGTAAAAGGTGACAAGTGTTATAAAGTAAAACACTGTTAATAAAATAGAGTAGGAGAAAGATTTTGGAGTGTGACAGGGTGGCTGGCTGAATTTTCAAATTGGCTATTTGAAATCAGCTAGGAGGTCACATTTGGCCATAGACATAAGGTAGTGAGGGAAGTGGGACTCTAGGTTTGTGGGGTAAGAGCCCTGCAGGTGGAGGGAGTGGTTGCTTGTGCTCAGGCCTCAAGGAAGGGCTGTGCCTGCCAAGTTGAGGAATGTAAAGAAACTGGGGAAGTTGGGGGCAAAGTTTGCAAAGGGAAAAGTAGTGAGAAATGCCTTCTGCAACAAAACTTAAATACCAAATATTTACCACTTTGTGATTTCATAAACTATCTTTTCTCATTTATTAAAAATATTTACAATGATTCTTAAATCCAGGTTGATATATATTATCAGCTGCAGCATTATTCTAGAGCAGGGCTGGTCAACTTTTACAGAATAGGGCCAGATGGTAAATGTTTAGGTGTGTGGCCATATGGTATCTGTCACAGCTCTCAGTTCTGCTGTGATAGTGCAACAGCAGTCATCCACATACATAAACAAATGGGTGTGGCTATGTGCCAATAAAACTTTATTTATGAACACTGAAATTTGAATTTCATGTAATTTTCATGTATTATGAAATACTATTTTTTTATGATTTGGGTGAAAGTTTACAGAGCAACTTCATTTTCCATACAGCAGTTAATACACATTTTGTTTCATGACATTGACTGCAATCCCCACAATGTAACAGCTCTCTTCCCACTTCCTCCCTATAGTTACCTCTTCCCTGTGTCCTTCTTTCCTGTGCATTCCTACCCCCTGAGCTCTCTCCCTGTGAAGATGCTGCCTTTCTTTTCTATAATTGATTGTTCTAAGGAGTGTATCTACCTGATGTAAGTGTTCGCCTTATATGCCTATCTGTTGTTTGGCTGAAAGCTACAGGAGTGTGTTCAATTCCAGACCTAAAAGATAACTAGGGGCCATAGTCTCAGGGGTGACACCGGGCTCTATCAGACCAGTAAACGTGGTCCTTTTTTTTTTTTTTAATGATTTTAAGTTTTGCTCCAAATTGTACTCCCACTCTATCCATGATCTCCTGCACTGATCCCTTTCTGAGTATTTGCCAGTGGTAGCCAATCACCATCTAGTTCTGCTCTTACGGTCATATGGGCTGAGGTTTGCGCGTGGTCCGTTAGACCCTTGGACTAATTGCTTCCATGCATTTTTTGTTTTCTTCATTCTTATTTGTTCTGGATGGTGGAGACCCATTGTTGCATCTAGAGGGTTACTTGCAAGCTTTTAAGACCCCAGTCACTATTCACCAAGGTTGTTGTTGTTGTTGTTACGTGCCGTCAAGTCGGCCCCGACTCATAGCGACCCCTCCTTGGGTTTCCGAGGCAGTATCACTACGGAATTAGATTGCCCAACCTTCCTTCTGAGGAGTGGCTGGTGGGTTTGAACCGCCAGACTTCTGGTTAGCAGTCAAGTGCCTTAGGCACTATGCTACCAAGGTA